CCTGCCCCTGGGGTGAGCCCTGGGGCCACATGCCTCACAGTCTGTCTCCAGGGCCCTGCTCTCACCCCTGTCCTAGCCCTGGAGCGGAAGGTGGTGCCACCCATATGCCTTGGCCCTCAGGACACTTAAGCTGCTTTTCCCATGCACCCTGGGACCTCTTTTCATACTGACCAGCCCTGAAGAGCTCTGCAGAAGGGACACAGGGAATTAAAAGGCCTCTTCCCCCCATAAGCTTTTGGAGACTTATCAAGCCCTGTTTATGAAGGTCCAGGGCCATTTCTGAGACACCCTCCTCAGCCCGCTCTGTCCCCAGCTCCATGCCTTCTCGCTCCAGAGCAGCCAGATATATGGGAGGGTCTTAGGGGTGGCAGGGAAGGATCAGGAAAACTGGTTTGCCGGCTACTTTCGTCCCTTAAGGTCACTGTGTTTTACTTAAGGTGTATATTACTGATTTTGAAAAGGGAAAGTTTTCTAAAGGTGCTTTTATTCCTACATTGTGGGAAATGGAGAAAAGACAAGGGTCAAAACCATAGAAAATAGGGAGGCAAACCCTAAGAGACACTTAACTCTAGGAAACAAACTGAGGGTTGCTGGAGGGGGATGAGGTAACTGGGGGATGGGCATGAAGGAGGGCACTTGATGGAATGTGCACTGGGTGTTATATGCAACTGATGAATCACTAAATTCTACCCTTGAAACTAATAATACACTATATGTTAACTAAATTGAATTTAAATAAAAAATTTAAAAAAAACATAGAATAGTATTTTTAAAATTTGAATTTAGCATGCCCTTGAGGAAAGGGCAGCTGGAGATGGGAAGCTGGCCAGGCCTTGTACCCAGGCCACCCCTCGGTCCCGCCACCTCCTTGCCCCACAGCCTTCTTAACTCTACCCATGACCCTCTTGACCTTGTCCTTGGTCGGGCTTTGTAAGATGATGATGTGCGTTCGTAGTGTTTGTCTCGGGGAATCCTCCAGCCACCCTGGGAGGTCCTTGAACCTGCTGCTGATTGTTACTCTTCTGGTGGCAAATTCTGGACTTATCAGGGAGCTCTGTGGAATCCCCACGTTTCCAGATCCCACAAACCTCCATCAAAAGTGCGTTTTCTCCGTGGCAGCGGGGAGTCCCTTAGTCACTCCCCCACCCCCCCCCCCCCCCACTCCCCAATGTTGAGTTTGGCAGGTGTCTGAGTCCCTCTGGGACCTCATTCCGGTGCTGAACACATTGCTCAGGCAGTGGCCACGAATTTGTTCTGCAGCCACTCTTTCCATCTCCGGTGACTTTTTTTTTTTTTTTTTTTAAGTGAAAATCAGCCCACATTCTTTATTCTGCAAAGCCAGGTTGCAAGGGAACAAGCCTAGAGGTCCCCACTGATCGGGGGTCTTCTGGAGGGGCAGGGGGCCGTGGTGCCCCTGCCATTTATTTAGGCTGTTGAGGCGTAACCGTGCTTGGGGGCGAGTTGTGGGAGCCTCTCCTTGACGTTTGGGGGCCTCTGCTACTGACCCCTGCCTCCCACCACTTTTGCCCCAAGGTCCTCTTTTTAGGCATCCCCCCCACGCCCCAGTTGACTGGTGACCATGGACCTGCAGCTGCCTCAGGGTGCTGTGGTAGCCCAGGAGAGCTCTTTAGCCTTCTCAGAAAGTGGGGGACGCTGAGCATAGTGGCTGAGAAGTCATCTTGGAGTCTGGCTTCAAATCCCCGTACTTGTATTTATCAATTATGTGATCTGTCTTAGCCTTTCGAAACCTCATTTTCCTCATTTGTAAAATGAGATTAATACTAGTTCTTCATGGGGTAGTGGTTAAGGTTAAATGGGGCAAGCCATGTCAAGGGCTTGGCACTATGCCCGACACCTGGTAAGGCTCAAAATAGGAGTGTTTATTAATATCCTGTGGGGGCATTGCTTGGCCTCTGGAATCCAGGATCTGAGAGTCTCCAAGTAACTAACCACCTGTTGCCTTCTCTCTGCCCAGGGTATCAAAAAACCATTCACTGAGGTCATCCGTGCCAACATCGGGGACGCCCAGGCCATGGGCCAGCAGCCAATAACCTTCCTCCGACAGGTAAGCTGGCCCTCAGGAGCAGAGGCTGCTGGGGCAGCAGGGAACTGGAGGCTGGTAGGGCCAGCCAGCTCCTCTCATCCCTGCTTCCTCCCCTGTCCAGCGCCCTCGGGACACAGCAGGCACCAGAACCTCACAGGGAGGTGCCATTAAAGTAGCAGCCCCCTCCAGTGCCTGATGTCGCCCGGGTCTCTCCCTCAGCCTCCTCCCCTTCCAAAGTTGTCTAGAATGCCTAGATTCATTGTGGGGTTACTCTTGTGTACGAGGCTCCCAGGGATGCCCTTCCCTAGTCATGGTCTCTGATACCGAGTTTGGAGCTTGGTCGATAAGCGCATCAGAGGCAGCCTGAAGAGGTAGAGGCCCAGTGGGCTGGGAGGTGGTATGTGAGGGTCCAGGTACTTTGATCCCAGGTGAGACACCCCGAGTTTGAGTGTTGACTCTGCCACTTACCATCTGGGTGGCTTTGAGCAAGTACAGATCACCAGAGCCTGCCTTGGAGGACAGCGGGGGGCCCCAGAGCGACACTGAGCATGAAGTGCTCACCCCTGGCCCAGCAGGAGAGTGTGCGGTTGGAGACCATTGTCAGCTGCTCCTCTCCTGGTCGCCTTGCTGCTGTGACCCGTCCTGCTCCTGGGGTCTCCAGGAGGCGGGTTTTATGCTCCAGTGTGAGCACCAGCCACAAGGATGCTGCATGGGCTGAAACTGGGGGATTGGTGGGCTGGAGGGAAAAAAACAGGGTGGGAAAATGCCATAGGGCCCCCTGAACAGAGCCTAGAGACCAGCTGTGGTGAAAGCTGTTTTGCAGAGAATTGGAGCAAAATACGGCGCTTACGTGGTTAAGGTTCACAGGCTTGGGCAAGCAGGGCAGCTGAGCACCGAAGGCCCCGGCCCTTTCCCGGACCCTGCCCTACTCTCTGGGTGGAGGGGTGTGGGGACCTTACTTAGCTCAGGGAGTTCACACGGGGTCTGGGGAAAAGAACCGAGGCTGGCACTGACCTGAGGAACGTCCATTGGGCCTCCCCTCCCATGGCCGCTGCTGCTGACCTCAGGAGCTCACCAGCTGCCTGGGAATGTAAGAGTCCCCAGCCTGGGCCCAGGATGGGGAAATGGATCAGACCAAACAGAGCAGCTTTGCCAGAGAGGCGGAGGCAGGAGGAGGCTGGAGGGCCCTGGCTATCCTAGAATCACGCAGCTCTGGAGGAAAGAGGCCAGAGCTGTTCCCCACACATGCCTGGGGCTCTGGGCAGGAATGTTGCCTCAGCCTTCCCTGGCCGGCTGACATGTTCCCAAATCCAATTCTGCCTCTGGCTGTGGCAAACCCAGCTTCTACCTGGTGCTGGCATCCTGCAGCCTTCACACTTGTCGCATCTTCACAGGTGCCTGTGGGAGGAGAGCAGAGGGTAGGCCGGGTCACTACCCATTGTACCAGTGAAGAAAAGCAAGGCTCCAAGAAGCCAGCTCCCATCTGAAGTCACCCAGCTGGTGTCAAGAGCCACGAGCCCTCATGTCCCCTCAGTGCTCTTGGCATAGCTCCTAAGCTACCAGCTTAGACTTGCCCTGTGAGCTGGGGTTTACCGGCACTTCTGCAAACATTTCCTTGCTTAATCCTCTTAATTTGTGAGGTTAGGGTGATTTTCTCTGTTACAGAGATGGGAAAGCTGACTGGGCTTTCAGTTCTGGCCAGGAAAGGAGATGATGGTGAGAAAGGGGGCAGGGGGTTGAGGGCATGCAGGAGGACACGCAGTCTGTGAGTTAGGGGTCTGTGCTTTCAGTTGGGGTTCACCTGCCTGCTCAGCCCTGGCCCCGGCTCAGGAGCCCCCTGGATCTTGTGGCCTTGGGTGTGTGAACTGCTGTCCTCTTTGGAAGAGTTGGGGCCAAGGACTGAGGGGCAGGCTCCTTCTGTTCCCCGCTCCTCTTCTGGCAGACCCCCTTTGGGTCCCAAGCCCAGGTCATGATGTAGTCCACCTTTCAGCATCTCTCCTGCTGCAAAGAGGCCAGCATGCTCCTCCCCATGCACCTCCAAGCTCCCGCAGGCTGGAGCCCTTGTACAGAGGCACGCACGTCCCAAAGTTGTCATCTTCACAGGGTCAATGTTTAGGGTCCTTGTGTCCGCCCCTCCTGGCGCTCTGGGGTAGGGGGTGCTGGGAGCCCAGCTCGCGCCTCTGTTCCCCCAGGTGATGGCACTCTGCACCTACCCAAACCTGTTGGACAGCCCCAGCTTCCCAGAAGATGCTAAGAAACGAGCCCGGCGGATCCTACAGGCTTGTGGCGGGAACAGCCTGGGTGAGGCCCCCCAACTAGCCAGGTCCCAGAGGGCATGAAGTGGGTACCGAGGGCATGTGTTCTGAGCATGGGCCTGGGCCCTGGCCCCGAATGGAGAGTTGAATGTGAGTGAGTGTGTGAATGTGTATGGCATGGTGACACACAGAGTAATGAAAAATAGTCTTCCTCTTCCTGTCTGCCCTGTTCAGCTGCTGTTAGCTGGGCAGTGAGGTAAATGCCATCTTTTGGAGGACCAGGGCACTTCAGTTGCGAGAGCCTACATTAGCCTGGAGTTTGACTTTACACCTGGGAGCCAGCTTGAGTAACTGACCCTCTGTCAGAGCAGAGGGTTGGTTTGTTTTTTTTTTAAAAAGATTTACTTATTTTAGAGAGAGAGAGAGCAGGGGGAGGGAGAGAATCCTCAAGCCAACTCCCTGCTAAGTGCAGAGCCTGATGAGGTGCTCAATCCCAGGACCCCGAGATCATGACCTGAGCTGAAATTAAGAGTCAGATGCTGGGGCGCCTGGGTGGCTCAGTTATTAAGAGTCTGCCTTCGGCTCAGGTCATGATCCCGGGGTCCTGCGATCAAGCCCCGCTTCGGGCTCGTTTCTCCGCGGGAAGCCTGCTTCTCCCTCTCCCACTCCCCCTGCTTGTGTTCCCTCGCTGTGTCTCTGTCAAATAAATAAAACCTTTAAAAAAAAAAAAAAAGAATCAGAGGCTTACCTTGAGTCACCCAGGCGCCCCTGAGAGCAGAGGGTTTAACCCAGGGATGGGCCTCAGTGACAGGCCAGGTGAAGTGCGGTGCGAGGCTTTGTCCAGCCTTCTTGCCTGTCTGTCACCCCCACGGCAGGAAGTGGCAGGCAGTTACTGGGGAAGGGGAGTGCTGTGAGATGCCTGTGAACCCCAGTGGGTGGCTTCCTTTGACCGTGCTGTCCGCCCTCATCCCTTGTGTTCCCACCACCCCGGCCTTTGGCCTCTTTGCTGGAAGCCCACGCCCAGCCATCTGCCTCCTTATGGAGGGAGCACTCCATGGAGGGAGGCCCTGGAATTTGGCCCCCGTAGATGTGAAAATGATATTCTCTCTCCCTTTGCTGCTGAGATGTCTCTGGGCCTCTGGCTCTTTTCTCATCTCCTGTTCTTTGTTCTGTTTACTTTTGCCCCATTCCTTTGCCCCACGCCTACACAGGGGTCCAGCTTTCCTCGCCCCAGGAAAAATAGTTGTTCTTAGAGTTTTTTAGGACATGTGCCTGAATGTTCTGGAACGTGGGAGAGTGATTCTTGCGGCTTGCTCAGCAGAGGATCAGCTACCTTTGGCCTCTCTGCCATCCCCCAGCCCCTCCCCTTCCTTTTTCTGCTCTTTCCCTTTAATGAGAGCCCTGTGCTTACTACCTTCCTTGCTGTGGTTGTTCCACCAGCCCTCTGTCCGAGTCTGGTCACTGTCCTTTAGGGTGTCCCTCTCAGGAAGGGGCCAGCTCCCCCTTGCTTTCCTGCCCGCCAGACTGGGGAAGGTGTGGGCCAGCACCTTGTGTGGCAAGGCCAAAACCACAAGCTGGCAGAGAACAACCTGACAGCCCAAAGGCCCAGCCTGTAGGCTCCTCTGTTCCTGCGCCCTCTGCCCAGCTCACAGGACAAACGCGCTTCTCAAAGACACCGTGGCCATGGGCCTAAGATTCCTGGAAGCTGCAAGGAGAGGCGGGGGAGGGAGTATTGGCCTTCTGCATACCTGATGTGAATGTCTGGGGAAGTGGGAGGGGTTCTTTGTTCCCTGTAGGAAGTTTTCACCAAGTTTTTGCAACTCTTGTCAGCCAGGGCTGTGGGGAAGAGTTTGGGAGGCCACGTTCATGTGAGTCCCCTCTTGCGGTGTTGTAGCAAGAGGAAAGTTGGCCTGTGGGGTTTTGGAGACCTGCACTGAGTTCTGTCTGAGGACCCTATGAGAATAGATGAGGTGGGTACTCCCTGAGCCTCTCTCCTCCTTGAACTAGGAAGTACTCTACTCACCTCCTGGGCTTTTGAAGGAGGTTGACGTATGTGCTAAAGCCCCTTGTCAGGTGTGGAGAAGTACTGTCCCTGGGGGTCACCACCAGTCCCTGCCCATTGCAGGGGGTAGGGCAGTGTCATCCTGGGGGTGGTGCTCTGTCAACTAAGCCTACCAGCCCATAGAAGTAAGGGAAATGGAAAATGTCGGTATGCTCAGGGCGACCCCGACCCAGGTCGGGATTATTAAGTATGTAAACAAGGTCTTAGAGCTCATCTGGATGTGTTTTTTTTATTGTGCCCTTTAAAATTACTTTTTTTAAAAAGATTTATTTATTTAGATGAGAAAGAGCATGCACAAGTAGGGGGAGGGGCAGGGGAGAGAGAGACTCTCATGCAGACTCCCCGCTGAGCGCAGAGCCGACGGACTTGGGCCTCAGTTGAGATCATGACCTGAGCCAAAATCAGGAGTTGGATGCTCAACCAACTGAGCCACCCAGGCGCCCCTAAAATTATTTCTTACTGGAGTTTCCTTATTTTCTGTTTGATGAGTAATTCAGTTCTCAGGTTGTATCTTGGATCTTACATAAGATTAAGGTGGAATCTGGACATCCAGGGAGGTGCAGGTCCTTATGTAGCCCTCCCGGAGCACTGCTCCAGGCGCTGAGGGACACTGGTGAACCAGGCGGATGGAATTTCCATGCTCAAAAAGTTCATGGTCAGATTTGGGAGAAACAAACATTAAAAAGAACTCACACAAAAAATAATCTCTAGTTTTCATGAGTTCTTGGAGAAAAAGCAGAGAGCTATGGGGCTATAACCAGGAATTCTAAGGTAGAGGAGGGGTTTAAGGAGCAAATATGATTCAAATTCAAGCGGACGGTGAGTAATAGAGAACCTACAAATGCATGCCAAACAGAAGAAATGGTGTGTGCAAATGCCCTGACGTTTGAGAACTGAGTGTGATCAAGTGAAGAGGTCTGGATGGGGTGGTATGTGATGGAGCTGGGAAGTTTGGCAGTGGTGATGATGCCGGTTTGTAGGCCATGGGAGGCAGGTTGCCATCAGTCTGAAGGCAGTGGGTCCTAAGCAGGGGTGTAGTGGGGTGGGGCCAGGCAGGAGGGTAGGTTGCTCTAGCAGAGATGCACAGAAGAAATAGGTAATGGCCCCTGCTCTCAAGGAACTTACAGTTAACATGGGGAGGCAGGGGCGCCTGGGTGGCTCAGTTGGTTAAGCGACTGCCTTCGGCTCAGGTCATGATCCTGGAGTCCCAGGATCGAGTCCCACATCCGGCTCCCTGCGCAGCAGGGAGTCTGCTTCTCCCTCTGACCCTCTTCCCTCTCGTGCTCTCTATCTCTCATTCTCTCTCTCTCAAATAAATAAATAAAATCTTTTAAAAAAAAAAAAACACGGGGAGGCAGCCTTCATGTGTATACAATAAATAACTGGAGAAATTGCATGTCATGGGAGAGGCTGGGCATGGGGCAGTATCTTTATGACAGCCCCCCTAGAGAGAGACGATTTGAACTTTGAAAGACCAGTGTGGTTTGGAGCATAACAGAAAAGCTGAAGGAAAGGGTGGAAAGTCAGTGGCCTGCAGGGGCGGGGAGCTTGCCAAGGGGTGAAGGCCTGGGAACTCAAGGAAGTGGATGAGCTAGAGGCAGGAGAAAGGGGAGGCTTGGCTGGTGTGGGAATGGACAGGCCCCATGGAGTGGAGGGGCAGGCATTGAGAGAGAAGGCACAGGGAAAGGTTTCTGAGTTTGGGAGCTCAGAAATAATCAGGTCAGTCACTCCATAGAGGAAGGATTCTCTAATACCAGCATTTGTACCTCCCCACTGTTATAATTTATAAAATATTTCAAATGCATTAGAATACCCCAAGTAATGTAACAAGACGTGGAACCCACCACCTGGATTTGATACATGTTCATGTTTGCCACTGGAACCTTAAGAGAACTGGCCTAGCCTCCCCTTGCTTCCCTCCCCATCCTATGGCTGGCCAGAGGGGAAAGGTGAGTCCAATGACGCCAGACACTGAGGCAGAGCCTGGCTGGCCACTTGAGTAGAGCCTCACGCGAGGTGCAGGGCCTGGACTGACTGATACTCACTGACGCCCAGAGAAGTCCCATCCTGCCTCCTGGTGGTGGGTTTGCAGTAGTTTCAGAAGGAATAGGCTGGTTCTCTTTAAATGTGGTCTAAAAATCAAACGGTGTAAAAGGACATAAGAGTGAAAATTCCACCTCCCACTTCTGAGCCCCAGCCTCCCCTTCACTTCTCCAGGGAATTCAGTTCACCAGTTTGGGACTCCTACCAGATTCTGTGCATGTGCAAGTACCTATTCTCAAATTCTTTATAAGAAACGGTGGCCTGATGTTAAAAAACTTTGTTCTTTATTGAGGCATTAACAAACCTATGATAAAATGAACAAATATTAATGTACAGCTCGAATAGTTTTTGCACATGCACACACCTGCGTAACCCTCACCCGGATCAAGACATGGAACATTTCCAGGGCTGCAGAAGGCTCTTGCCATTCCTCTGTGGTACCATGTGTAGGCAGCGGTGAGAAAGACATAGCAAGCGGTATGGGCACATTTGCCTGATTGGAAGCCAGGGCTTGGAATAATGCTTGACATCTAACTTCTCTGTGAATATTGAAAGCATGAATGGATCGGTGGGTGGATGGGCCGGTGGACGAATGGAGAGAAAGCAGATGAGTGGACGGATGGATGAGCGGGTGGGTAGATGAAGCCCGGAGAGGTGGTTAAGCAGCTTGCCACGATTCCACAGCCTAGAGTAGTGGGAGTTGGGTCCTGTCTAAGACCTCCCTCACACGCCCCAGAATTACCTGGGAACCCCCCAGGTAATTCTGTGGCTGTCACCAACCCCATAGAGCCAGTCATCCTGCCTCCAGTCACTTGTCTTTCTTGCTGTCTTACAGGGTCTTACAGCGCTAGCCAGGGCGTCAATTGCATCCGTGAAGATGTGGCTGCCTACATCACCAGGAGAGACGGCGGCGTGCCTGCAGACCCCGACAACATTTATCTGACCACAGGAGCCAGTGACGGCATTTCCGTACGTGGGAGGGTGGCTCGTTAGGCAGTGCTTACCCACATGAAGAATAGCCTTGCGCGTTAGGGCCAAGGATGTGAGCCTGCCAGCAGGGAGACAGGCCTGCTAGGAGGGGCTGGCTCTCTGCGGGTCCCCGCTATCTCCCGCAGCCTTGGTTTCCCCCCAGAGTGCACACCCGTGGGTCCAGCTGGAGAGGAGTCATGGGCACTCGAGGCTGCCTGTCTTTCTGCTGGCATTGGCCTTTCTCTCACTTAGTTCATACTGGTGTTCCTCCTCTGCCAGGTGCTGTACCAGGTGCTGGGGAGACTGTGGGAACCAAACAAGCCTGGCCCCTGCTTACACCCTAGTGCTGGACCAGACCAGCATTAATATCACATAAATAAATGTCCTACCACTAGCACTCAGTTTCTCTTCTGGGTGAAGAGGACAGAGTGCCGTGGGAAGAGCAGCGGGGGTGGGGGTGGTTGTGGGGAGCAGAAAGGTTTCCTCGCAAAGGATGGCTGAGCAGAGATCTGGAGGATATGCAGGCATGAACAGGGGAGTTAGGGGACAGAGTGTGTTCTGAACAGAAGGTCAACACGTAAGAGGCTGTGAGCCGGAAAGCGGCTGTGTGTTTGCAGAAGGAGAGTCAGAGTGAATGAGCACATGTAGCAAGGGCCAGTTTCCAGCAGTGGGCTAGGGAGGCAACTGGGGCCTGAGTCCTACGGGGCCTTAGTGGCCATACTGAGGATTTAGGTCATTGTCCTAAGAACAATGTCCACTGAAGGATTTGAAGGTGGGAGGAGTGACAGACGGATCAGGGATTTATGTTAAGATTTAACTTTGGCAGGGAAGGGGCATAATGGATGTGAGCGACTGTTTAGGAGATGAGGAAAGAGGTGGCTTGGGCTGGGGGTCAGCTGTGGATGGGGTGAAGAGGGGCTGGTATCAAAGTGTGCTTAGCAGAAGGGCTCTGAAGTCCTGGGTCTGAGGGACCTGTGCTCATCCATTCCCATGGAGCATGCTCCTTTCTGTGCCTAATCAGTGCTGGTGCCTTCAATTCATTCATTTTCCCTCCTCAGGGAGTGTGTGCTGACTCTTCCTTTAATGGGGTT